CTAAGAGAAATGAGTACCAGGAATCTTCCTGGAAACAAAGGGTGGCCGGCGCATAAGTCTGACAACCTCAGCGCCATCTGTGAACCGATTTTCTAGAAAATATGGGGAGCTTCGACGTTTCACAACCCTACAGGCCTTCGCGGTGTGTTACAGGGGTAGCTTTACCCTTTTTTATTATTTATTCTTATCAAAGAAAGGTAAAAAACGTATTTGTGTATCAAAAAAGTATTCATGATTTTATAAATTATGGTCGTTAGGGTTGTCGTACTTAAATGAAAGGTCAAAATGGCTCATAAAATTTTCGCAAAATTCAATACGAACTCATGACAAGCGCTCTTAACAGTTCTCTATCGATTTCATTCGTACAGACGGACGGACTGACTGACTTAGCTGGTTCTTCTAGAACCGGACATTAATATGAGATACCACATCAGAGAAAATTAGGATATAAATTTTACTCATAACATCTCATTTTTCGCGTATGATTATCTCCCGTTACACATCTTAGAACGTTAATCCTATTGACTTACAGGCTGTAGAGAAAACTACATAACGAGGAGCTTCATAATTTCTACTCTTCTCCAAGTATAATTAGAGTGATCAAGTCAAGGAGGTTGATATTGGCAGGGCGTGTAGCACGAATGGGGGAGAAGAGGAATGCATGTAGGATATTGGTGGGAAAGCCGGAAGGAAGGAGACCATTAGGAAGATCAAAGCGTAGGTGGGTGGACAATATTAAAATGGATCTTAGAAACATAGGGTGGGATCGTGTGGACTGGATCGATCTGGCTCAGGATAGGGACCAGTGGAGGGCTCTTGTGAACACGATAATGAACCTTTGGGTTCCATAGAATGCTGTGAAGTTCTTGAGTAACTGCACAATTGGAGGCTTCTCAAGAAGGGCTCAGCTCAGTGAGTGAGCTGTTTTAACCTGGCTTCTGGGTTGTGTGTATTACGGCAAGATTTAGTGGAAGAGTGGTTGCAGCTGCACTGTGTTAGCTCAGTTAATGGACACGACTAAGCCCACTGCGCATTCTGTTGAGAACGGGGAAGTCTAAAGACACAGCCAACAGTGAATCAGTGGTTGCCACTGCGTTGTGGGGGGGGGATGGAGAGTGACGTCATGTAACTATGGCCCCTGACTTACCCATACCCAGCCAACAATCCTGATCTGAGCCAACTGACCTGACCGAATCCATTGTGAATTTTGTCGAGAGTGGACAGGTACAAAAGCGGATAATAACTAGTGACGTCAATACATTAAGCTCCTTTTGCCTTCATTGGTGGATGAACTTGTCAGATTAATTAACTTACACCGTGTAATTTTTACTGCAAACAAAACATGTCGCTTCTTAAGTTGCGGATGTAATGCGACAAGATTTCCTCTTGCCACTCCCACTCGCAGGGTTCTGGGGACGTTCTCTCGCCTTGAGAAAGAACTACTTAGAGCAGCAACGCCTCTAAATAAAGACATTTCAATAAACGTTAGACTTCTGGGATGACACGCTGATTAGTGTGATAGATTTTACTGACGTTTCGGAAGATCATTCTGCTTCTATCTTCCTCTCAGATATACTCGGTAGTGAACAAACCATGTAAGAGGATTTAGGTTCCCACCGGCTGTGACTGTGACACCGTACAGTCTTGTAGATCCTTACTGACATTTCCTGCTGCCCATACTCCGTCGCAAAGTGGTGAATTACTAAGCTATCACTATAACAGGGGGCACAAGCTACCGTATTTGGTTGAGGCACTGTGCTACAAGCCGGAAGGTCGCGGGATCGAGTCCCGATGAAGTGGATTTGTTCAACTTGCTAATCCTTCCAACCGAATTATGGTCCTGGGGTCGACTCAGCCTCTAACAGAAATGAGTACTAGGAATCTTCCTGGGGGCTAAAGGGCGGCCGGCGCGTGAGGCTGACAACCTTACCGCCATCTGTGAGCCGATTGTCTAGAAAACGTGGGAGCATCCACGTCTCAAAATCCTACGGGCCTTCACGGTCTGTTACAGGGAGAGCTTCACCTTTTTATCACTGTAACAGACTCCCACTTTTTCTAAACAACAGATTTACAGACGGCGGCGAGGTTATCAGGCTTAAAGGCCGAAATTATTAAACAAAGATACAAATTTAAACCCTGCCTTACCAACGTGAAACACCCATGTCTCGTATAGGGAACACCGATTTATTGATCTGAAATTGAAGTGAAAGGCACCGTTATGTTGAAAATAAAAAAGGCTTCTTGTTCATTCTGTTTCTGTATTGATACGGAAAACATTTATACTATTTCTAAAGCTGGCATATTACTGAACGGAGTTTATTACTAAACTTTTTCCCCTTTCAAAAATGTTACGAGAGCCTTTTTTTACATGTAGCCATCATTCAAAGAAGCTGTCATCCGGTGACAAAATAGCGCCATATTTCATGCGTGCTGAAGGGTGGCTGAAGTCTACACAAGGTAAATACTCCAGAACTGAGAAGGGTCTGGCTCTAGCGGGGAGATTACCTCCATTGTAAAGGATCAGGAATATCCTTTAAGATGGGGTACACATAGGTTCTTTAAGAGTCTGTATATCTCATTAGCCTTGTGCTTTATTGCGTACATAAATCTACAAGGAAAGCGGTTATTTGATAAACACGGTCTTGGATGGAAGTACATTAAGCTTGAGAGGAATTCTAACTCTTTCAGAGAAGAAATGCGAAAGAAAGAAGGGAAGGAAGAGAACAGAAAGAGGAGTTAAAGGACAGATGGCGGGAAGTACGAGGCAAGCTACAAATAAGTGGAAGACGGTGAAATGTGAAGAAGATTGAGAACAGAAGGAAAAGGGACGAAGAAGTGGACGAATGCAGGAGAAAAGGAAAGGAGGAAGAGGTAACGGATAAAAGAAGAAATAGAAACTGAAAGTGAAGTGCATAATGGAGGAGGAAGGAAAGGGAGTTAAAAGAGAGGGAAGGAGTGAGGAGGATGGTAAGAAGGAATTAACAAGAGAAACCTGAAGAAGGAAGGAGAAAAACTAGGAGAATGTGAAGGAGTGGAAGGAGATAATAAAACAAAATTGTCTTTCTTTTATATGAATGTGTATGTGATGTTTTGGGACCGAAACGATTAAATAAATATTTCTCAGGAAGTGGATCGGACTCAACTGGCTCCGGACTATTTTGAATATGATAATGACTCTTAGGGTTACATATTCTAATTGATACCCTGTTTGCTCGTAAAGAAAGTTTAAGCTTCATACAGATTAATGGCTTCTGGTTTGTGACGCAGTTTAGTTTGGTAGACAGAGACACCTACAAAAGCTTAGGAAGAGAATTCTGTGTTCATTTTCATAATATCCTGATGATGGAGACAGAAGATTCCCCTAAATCTGATAACTAAGTACAAGGCTACACGGCGTCATATTTCGGAAGATTGTAATCTTGATTTTTTTATTGCTTGTAGGGTGGGACTAAGTCCCTTGTACTGCGGCCACTTCTGCCCTATTGTACCAGCCCCTGATGATAGGTGAGGGTGATTGTCGAGCAATTGGTGGAATAAAGAGTGGCAGGGGAAACCGAAGTACTCGGAGAACCCAGCACCACTTTGTCCACCACAAATCCCACTTGACCAGACCCGGGATCGGGAAGCCAGCGACTAACCGCTTGAGCTGTGGCGCGGCCAAAGTAATCTTGATACTCACTGCTATGAAACCTCAGCTCTAAGACCTCCTGCATGACGTTAGAATGGGTATCATTAAGCGCGGGGCAACCCAGGCATTTTTCCCCTTAGGAATTTTGTGAAAATCAAAATTGATAAAGGAATATATAATAAATAAAAGGTAAAGTATGTAAAGCTGTCCCTGTACTTAACTCATTAAGCACTACGCCATGAAGGCGTATAGATCCACGTTTTCTTGAACTCGGCACTAGCTGGAGGTGAGTGGTCAGCTTGAAGCCCCGGTCGCTTTAGCCCCGGGGCAAAGAGTCCCCGTTGCCCATTGGATAGGAGGCTGGGTGGACCACAGAGCCGGTTTGGACGACGTGGAGAAGAAATAGTTAACAATACCGGGACTCGAACTCCGATCCCCTGATAGTCCTGCCCGTAGCCAGTCGCTATACCGACTACACTATCCTGGCTTCCGAATATATAACAAAAATAAATAAAGACAGTTTAAAATTGCATTTAAAAACTATTACTTTGTCGCGGACACGGTAGCACCTTCAGAAAAATGTCTTAAAAGGTGTGTAAGCAATATTATGACTGCATCCCTTTGAGAACTGACTGTTCCGTTTGGAAAAAAAAAGGTTTTCCCATGGAGAACTGGCTGCTCATTCGGAAAATTGACGGGCCTTTTGTTGGAAAACAGATCGTACCACTTTGAGAAAGACTGTGGTAGTATCCAGAGGCTTTCATTATATAAAAACCTGTAGTTGTACTGGAAATTAAATGCAGTAGAGAAAAAAACCAATTAGAATGCAGGAGTAAAAAGTAGGAGCTCCCGGTTCCTGATTGAAATGACTGGGATTTGAATATCGCAGAAAACAATATATCTGTAACAATAAAGTTATGAAAACAGGTGCAAGGCAATATTTTAAATTAACTTTGATATGCTCCTTTCGGGTCTGGAGACAATGTTAGTCACGCCATGATTTTGTATATTAGCAGATTCTGTGTTTTTTCGTAGCGATTTCATAAACATTACTAAGTAAAATATGATAAATTTACGTTTCTAATTGAATAAAACGTTTATTCTCACTTAAATGTTATTATTTCAGTTCTCGCAATAGGAGATACAGAAATTTATATACCTGGTATAGAAGAATAAAATGAATACATCAGTGAAAACACGACACATATTACAATGTATCGATGTCATTCTTACTACCAAACTCAACTTAGGGAAAGAATAATATTAATTCATTACATGTTATGGATCAGAGATGAAAATGTATTGTGCTACTAAATGAACACACCCTGTAGCATACAGTCATTGTGCTTGCATTAACAGATGTGTGGCTTACCTTCCCGAACTCTGTGAGCCCGCCTTCACTGCTGCGGTCCGTCGGCTGTGCTGTTGGGGACGAGGACTCGCTCTGGAGTTGGGTCAGCGAACAGTCTGCCCTACCGATAGCCAAAGATACTTAGTACAACACATTGGTAAGATACAATATATTCTGATCTACTGTTATTATTTACAGGAAGTGCAGAAGTGAAACTTGGATGTCACACCCTGTATAGCGACTAAGCTATGGGATGGGCAACCCGATGATTGTGATTCGATTCTCGGTAGTGGATAGCGTGTTTACTTCACAGCGTCTGGAGAGGCTTTGGGACTCACCCAGCCTCGTATCGAATGTATGCCGGGAGCTACTTTACCCAGGATACAGAGGGAATTTCCCCGCATGTCTCCATCTGATGAGAAGCTTCATATTTTCATGATTTTAGGGTGACTACAGGCGGATTTTGGATTGATGATCCCATTTTTTGGGCTCTTTGATACAGTGCATGACTACACTTTGCAGTTCACTGTTACACTTACAATAGTGTCCACAGTCACGTGTTCACTAGCCGTTGCTTGGTGGCGGCTTCCAATTGCGTACGTTCCCCTTTCTCTGGGTTCCTGAACTATCCCCGTGCCTCAGCTACCAAATTCCAACAGTAACGGCTCACAACTGAACCTCAGCAGTTAACTGACTGACTAACTCAGTCACTCACCAACCATCTTCACTAACTCCACTAAATGTCCTGCTTATAACATCTCGGCACGGACCTCACAGAAAACACCGTCCTTTTTTGCTGTATCCAGCTGCTGCCGTGGAAACATGATTTGTGATGCCGTTACTGTTTCATATTTGCTTACGTAGTTGTCGTTGCCCAGCAACGGACCTACATGCCACGATATATTTATGGTATATTTAACGACACTGTCAGTAACTCACTGTATGTGGCGTGATGATAAATGATTAAAGAATGGTGTCGAAAGAACCAGTCGTGGTCTATTTCGAGACACTGTCTCGACGTTGTTCTGGAGGGCCTTATGAAGACCACGACAATGGATGTCTCGGCCGAGATTCGAACCGGATACCTAACGAACACAAATAAGAAGCGATATCACCGGGGATAACCTGGTCGGTGCCGGGGTTAAGAATACGTGGAACAATATCTCCACTTCTCCTCTACGTTTTACATTACGTAATGCTTAATTAACCGTTCACAGTGGCCGCGCGGTCTAAGGCATGAAGTGTCTTCGCCCGCTCGAACGCTGGGATCGTGGGTTCGAATTCCACTCAAAACATGGATGTCTGTGTGCGTTTATTGTGTTTATGCTATCCCGTGTGCAGATAGCGGCCTTGCGACGGGCTGATCCCCCGTCCAAGGAGAGCTACTGTCTGTATAAAAAAATTATGGAACTGAAGAAGAGGCCACAGCCCAACAAAGGGCTGTACAGCCATTGCTGATTAATTATGGACAGGTACAACATTAATTTTACTTTAATGTAGAGGTCTGTCTGTCAATCTGTGTCCTTCATCCGCGGAAGCACTCGATGTCCCTTGTACTGCGGCCACTTCCGGCCTATTGTACGAGCCCCAGATGATAGGTGAGGGTGATTGTGGAGCAAATGGTGGAATGAAAATTGGCAGGGGAAACCGAAGTACTCTGAGAAAACCTGCCCCAGCGCCACTTTGTCCACCACAAATCCCACTTGACCAGACCGGGGATCGAACCCGGGCCGCCGCGGTGGGAAGCCAGCGACTAACCGCTTGAGCTGTGGCGCGGCCTTCGGGTAGGGGTTGCAATGAAGACAAAATACCATTAAATTGGTTCCATGAAGAATAAAGGAAGACCCGATGCATTGGCATGTGATATGGGATAAAGGTAAGGTTTTGTTCCAAGAATCGATTTTAATTTTTTAATATGGCGAATATTTAATAAAAAGCAGCAGAAATTATTCTCTGATCCGTTGCAGTTCCATCGTTTCCTCTTCTCCTTTCCTGCCTCTCCGTGGTCCTTTTTCGTTTTACTCTTTATATTTAACATAATTTCTTTATTTTTCTTTTGCTACTTATTTCATCCTGTTTTTTTATACTTTCATCTTTTTTCACTTCTGTCTAGTCTACGCTCTTCCAATATCCATCTTAATTTGTCTCCTTTTCTTGGTAAATCTTGCCTTTGGTTTGTTTGTTTCGTCCCTTACTTTTTTTTCCTTCTTATTAAGGTTGAGGCACTATGCTACAATCCGAAAAGTCGTTGGTTCGATTCTCGAAATGTCACTGGATTTTTTCAATTGACATAATCCTTCCAGCCGCACTATAGCCCTAGGGTCGACTCAGCCTCTAACATAAATGAGTACCAGGAATTTTCCTGGGGGTAAAGGGGGCCGGCGTGTAAGGCTGACATCGTCACAGCTATCTGTGAGTCGATTGTCTAGAAGATGTGGGAGCCTCGACGTCTCACACACCTACGGGCCTCCACGGTCTGTTACAGGGATAGCTTTACTTTACTTATTTTAACTTCTTTTCCACTTCTTTGCTTTTTTATTATTTAATTTATTTACTAGTAGGTTGTTCTGAGATGTGACGCCGTGAAGTCCAGCGGAAGATCACCAGCGTTTCGAAGAAACATACTGCTTCTATGTTGAGGACCGAAGGCCAAGCCATTCAACCAACCAGCAAGAAATTGGCAGCAAGCAGACGCAATATATCCCTCAGAAACATTTGTTAAATTCTACATGTTTTCTACGGTGTCCGTGCCGAGGTCTTTTAAACAAGACAAGTATATAGTTTAGTTAGTTATGGGGACAGTCGCCAGCCAGTAAGGACGTAAACAGGGAAGCTACGGCGTTGGAAGCAGTTACCAGGCAACAGGTGAAGATACAGCAGACTGAGAAGACTCAGTACTTGATCTAGTGAATTGTAAGAGTGTGTGAATTACACGTTACTTGTAGTTACGTTCTGTACGTGTTCAGTAAATCTAATTACCAATCCAAACCCCGCCTACAGTCACATAATCACGTGACAATAATATATTTACATCGTCTTCACTTTCTTTCATTCTTTCTCTATCGCCTTTTCTTCCCTTATGCTTTGTTTCAGAAGTACGAACCCTGCACTGTTTATGGTATTGCTTTCATCAGCTCTATATTCTTCCCCTACATTCAACTGTTACCGAAGTTGGAGGGGGAACAGCATATTTACTGTTGGAGGGAGGAAAAGTTTCCGCCCCTCCTCTGTCATTTGCGTTTTATATCCAAACCCAGCCGCGGCGGACAGCCTTAATTAAATTAGTTTCAGAGCTTCCGGTGTGAATAATAATGATCGCCATCTTGGTGTTAACCCATCGCACCTCAGAGTTCTCGCAGAACCAGTTCCTTGCAGCCAATCCGAAAGTTGAATAAAGAATTAATAAAATAACAATACAAATTATTTTCCATTTAGAACTTATTCGATATGGAGACCAGGCTAGGGGCTGGACGTCTAAGAGTTGATGGTTAGATTCCCTGCATGGCCAGAGTCCAGACCGACTCTGGAGAATACAAAGATTTCCAATCGATGGGTAGTAGAAGCTGTTACCCGAGGGTTAAAACAGCTGGGACGTGAAGCTGATTTCTCCTCTCCCATCACAGATGATCCAAGTTATGAATCCTCTGTGAGAACTGTCGACCTTACACTTCTGAATAAGATCTAATAGTTTGTGACGATAGAACTTTAGTACAAATGTTATGTTCCTGGATACTATCCATCCATGTTTCGGAGACTGTATTCTGTCTCCGTCTTCAGGTGAAACCTACTCAGTTCGGCACAATCGACAGAGCTAAGTGTCTATCTCCGGACACCTGTACCAGGATCAAGACGAGGTACAAAAGCCAAGCACAGCACAAAACATCTGCGAGAGCTAAGAAAACATCGAATCATTAAAAAATTCACACGTATGGGGCCTTGCACCAGAGAATTATCAAGATAGAAATCATCACTGGAGAGAATAAATACTCCGTATGGTACCAACATAAGAAAAACAAAAAAATCCCCACTCAGTCTACACCGGACGGAGTTGTATTTTTCCGAGTTCCGTCCAGTAGACACTTATATTTCCGAATTATGCTCTTTCTTCGAGGTAGGATACCATGTTCTATAGCCTTTCAAGCAGAGGGAACTTTCGTATGAAGATATTAAAATGATGGGAGATTTACAGACTCTGTACGTGTGTAAAGTCCAACAAGGATGTTTGTGGAATACTAATTTCTCTTTCGCAACGGACCATCTGAAAGAATCCAAGAGCGAGGATGTGAAGTCGACTTTAAACTGGAATGTGATAAACACTGCAGCAACACAATGAAATTCCTCCATAAAGAAGCCATAATGCAGAGCCATGCTGGAAGAAATTCAGAACGAAGAGCGTATTGAATGTTTATGAGGTAGGAAAATTCACTTATCCTTAATTACTTCTGTTAAGGAGGATAAATTATGGCGTTCAGATCAGCAGTCGATGATGTGCTTACTGATTAATTGCGAAGATAATTATAGAAAATTAACCGCGTGTGGAAAATTTTTAAAGAAATTTATGAACAACTACGTGATATGAAGATGTAAAAAAAACTGGAACTCTCATTCCATCTATTAATTAAGAAAGTGACGATTAAAGTTGACAAATTTTCCTCTTGTTCTGTAAGGATTGGACATCTATTAAGGAAGAATATTGGATTAATGTGATATTTGATGAAAGAATGATAGTGGCAAAAACATTTCTGTATTCTGGGATGTGAAATTATGTGGAACACACCTAAGTATGTGAGAAATGCTTTCATAACCTGGTTAATTCAGTACACACAAAAATATTTTCCATTTTCGATGTTATAAGCGGGCATTTTATTTATAATTAAAGGGTATTTTTTTCAATCGAAATATGTGTTGCATCCCAAAACATAAAAATTAGAATATACAAAACTATAATTCTGCCTGTGGTTCTGTATGGGTGTGAAACTTGGTCTCTGACATTAAGGGAGGAACATAGACTGAGGTTCTTTGAGAACAGGGTGTTGAGGAGAATATTTGGACCGAAGAGAGATAAAGTCACAGGAGGTGGAGAAAACTGCATAATGAGGAGCTTCATAACTTGTACTCTTC